AGCCAACTTGGACCTAACCACCACCACTGAGATTTCAATAAGGAGAGAGCTAAACAACCTCTACTTGGAAGATCAGCTGGATTCATGCAACCAGGAATATGTCTCCAAGAATCTTTATTTGTTAGTCTTCTTATTTCCTTCACCCTATTCTGGACAAATACACTCCAGGCTTCTTCTCTCGTTATCCATGCTAAAACAGTAGAAGAATCAGTCCAGAAGTAAACTTCTTCACTCTGTATCTCAGACAAAATTGAGGACGAAAGGCGAGACGCTATAGTAGCTGCAAGTAATTCCAATCTCGCGATAGTAGTTTCTTCTTTTCCAGTTGGTGTAACTCTACTCCTGGCTTGTATCAGTTGTACTTTAGTAGAATCAAAAGTTTTTATACGAATGAAAGCAGCCACGGCATAAGCATGCTTACTGGCATCACAGAAAATATGTACTGAAGTATTTTCACTCGTACTCCTTGAACCAAAATATCTTGGAAAATGGATCTTTTCCAGATAGTCAATATCTTTCAACCATTTTTAAAATGTAGTTCTCGTACAGGTATCAACTTCGTCATCCCATGTTATCTTCTGCTTCCAAGTTTCTTGAAGTAATAACTTAGGGATAATGATAACAGGACAACATATAACAAGAGGGTCAAACAATCTATGAGCTGTAGATAAGATTAAGCGCTTAGTCACTTTTTCAAAACATAACTCTTTTATACTACCAGTATTTATTCTTAGAGTGTCAGATTTTTTATTCCATATTAAACCGAGCACATTTGTATCAGCAGAAGCATCAGCAGATATCAGAAGCATCAGCATTAATATCATTGAACTCTCTAAGCTCAAATTTTCTCTCAGCCATTACCTCAGTTGATACACTAATAAAATGATTGAGTTCTTCTTCATTTTTTACACAACTGACACAATTGTCAACATAAAAACTATGCATAAGTTTTTGAATGACACCTTTCGTATATAAGGATTCACCGGTTTCTATTTTCTCTAAAACAGTTTGTAAGTGAAGCTGAATAGTAGAGTTTAGAAGAAAAGGGCTACTTGCTACACCAAAAACTACACGGCAGTGCCTGTACACTTTCAGTTGACCATCACTATCAAGCCATAAGAACCGCAAAAAGTCTCTATCAGTAGGTGAAACACTTATTTGAAGAAAGGCTCTTCGTATATCAGCAATAACACCAATCTTTTCTTTTCGAAAGCGTGTTAAAATACTCGGAAGCTGTTCTATTAGATTTGGGCCTTTTTCTAAGCAGTCATTAAGACTAGGAAATCCCTTTACTTTGGCCGAAGCATCAAATACCGGTCGGAGTTTTGTAGTGCTATTCTTTTTGATAACTTCTCGATGAGGAAGGTAAAGAACTTGCCCTTGATAATTTTTATCAGCCTCTTCAATTACTCCCTCTTCTAGCCATTCCTTGAAAACATCTCCATAAGCTTCATAATTGGACTCGATTTTAAGACGTTTAACAGTTTTGTTCAGTCTTCTCTCGGCTAAGTCAAAATAGTCTGTTAGTGGTGGATGATATTCCAACCAGGGCAAATCAACCTCGAAACGATCATCGACTATACGAACTGTATTTAGAAAATGTAACCGAGCAGCTTCTTGTAGTTCAGTCTGGTTTTTCTTGACTGATGGGTCAGTGATCCCAAGTGTGTCCAAAGTCCATAGATCTGTTATGGTCTCCACAGTAGATAACAAGGATGTAACTAAGAACGATGATGAAAACTCACTTTTCGAAGTATTCGGCATTCGTCCCATAACTGACCATCCAAATTTGGTCTCAATAGCTACGAGACCACAAGGCAACTCACGACGACCACCTGTCATGAGTTTTCCAGCTACATCAGCCCCAATAAGAATCTCAATAGGATTTTTGACAATCATCCACAATATTTATATTACAGGCTGCTAACTCTTTCAGACAAAGCTTGTTGACAGTAGGTGGCACTGACTTACAAATAATTTGTTGACTAAGAACTTTAAAGTTGCAATTATAATTCCCATGCACACTCGATAAATATAAAGCATGTATATATACATCATGCTTGCATATCCCTGAGTCCTTCCCTCCAAATAAAGAGTGTTGTAAATATTCACAACTCTGAGGTTCATAGTTCATTTCTTTAGCTGTACTTCTTAATAAATATGATCGCTGTGAAGCAGTATCGATAATAGCTCTTGCGACGCGTTTTTTCCCATTACTTCTAATTATAACTTTGAATGTTTGAAGCATTACGTCCGGAGTAGAAGATAAATTGGAAAGAGCTTGATCCACTTCAGCACTAATCTCAGTTTTCTTTTCAACTTCAGGTGATTCTTCTTCGTTTTTTGACATAGTTATTTGGTGCATCTTTCTACACAGAAGAATATGGTGTTTTTTTACCACAACACAAGCAACCAACTTTCAAGTTACAATCCTTGACTGAATGTCCAGATTTCAAACATAAAAAACACTTGTGAGATTGTTGAACCAGTGACTCCCTCTGCCTTAAAGGTATTTTTTTTTACTTTTAGACAGTCTCCAGAAAAATGTGAATTAGAACAGAATATGCACTGTTTTGATACTTGAGATGAAGTTAGAAGGTCTGTTGCACTAGGTATATTTGAAAACTTTCTACTCTTACATTTGTTCTCTATTACCTTTTTCTCATAGGAAAGATTATGTTTTACTTCTGCTTTTGGTTTCGATGTGTTGAAACTTTGAGAGGCTAAAAAAATGCGTTCTTCAGCTTCGACTTCGGCTTGTAAAATCACTTTTCTCTAATAGTTTTACTTTCGTCTGAATCATCTAAAATTCTTCTACTCAGATCTATAGCGCTGCCAAGCAACAATCTCAAGTTGATCGAACAATTTTCTTAATGAATTTTTAGAAGTGTTCTGTTTTTGAAGAACTAATACTAATAAGTCTCTGACATATACCTGAATCAATAGTTCCTCTCTGCCGAAACGCATTTTCAGCTGTTTTAAAGCTTTTTCGTAACTATTACCCCCTGGGGGATAGCTCTTAATTAATTCTTCAGCAGGACTGCCTTTTTCCATTGCTTGAGATAAATACGAAAATTTATCGTGAAAATCGATATTAATGTCCTCATCAATTTTTTGAAACTGACCCCAAAAGTATAGCCAATTTCGTACACTACCGTCAAAAGTAGGTAATTTTATTTTTGGGTAACGTAATAAAGTGTTCGGCTGCGAAACAATGTTCAAATTTTCATTTTTAGAAGATAATTGTTCACTCACTAGTGTTTCTAGCTTCTGTTTTAAAGATCTCCATCGATCAATATACATTTCTGACTCATCATCTACCGCTTTCTCTATTTCGGTATCGGAAGTATTTTCAGAATACAACAAATGTTTATATTTCTCTTCACATGCTATCATTAATAAAGCTTTCTCTTCAATTAGCTTTAATTTATTAATTTTATCAGAACGATTTAATTTGATTTCTTCCTCATCAAAAGTATTACATGCTCGAGTAAACAACCTTCTAAGTTGCTTTCTATCTTTCAAAACAATATCCATAATGCACAAAGAATAAAAGAAAATATAAAATATTTTTTCACTCACTCTTAAAAATGCAGCCGTAGTCCTGTCGTGGACGCCAGATATCCCGTTTTACCTTCGATATCAGAAGAATTATGATGGAAAATGAGTATACAATCAATTATCCAATGAAAGACATCTCGTCACAACACAAACAGTTTAATATTACAATTCTATTTACAAGTCTAATTAAGTGTTAGTTTTAGCTTTGACACCTCAAAGCAATACTCAGAACATAAATGGCATAAAATATTACTCATGAAAAACATCTCAAAAAGTCATTATTCTCATTACTTAAAACAAAAGTAAACAATAGAACAAACTTGAAAACGTAGATGTAAAAACTCAACTGTTGCCAATCGCGATTTACTAAATTACATCAAAATAAAGATAATAATCAGGTAGAGGTTCAACTTCACACAAATCCAATCACAAGTGCCCACCAGTGGCCTAGTAGTAAAGTCAGTGTGTTCCAGGCAGATGGGCTGGCTGCATGGGCATTTTTGTGGATTTCTTTTATGTGTAATGTGGATATGAAACAGTTACCTTAGAAAGTCCTCCACAAAGACACCTCCTCTTATGCAGCTAGCCCTAGCATGCTTTGCCATAATCATTCAATTACAAAATCTAATATTGGTTCCCTCTCCCTACACTTTTGGTTGTAGCTAGTTTTCAGTGTCCAGGTACAGCTGAAGATTTTCTTCCTTCTATTTGCCAAGAAGGGAAAACATTTAATTCTGAAATTTTGTAACATCAATTTGGCTCCCCCTAGATGCTGCACACAAGGACAGATGTACTGTCGTGTTCCCCTTTAGCTTCACCACTGTTTTAGGCAGATATTTTTAAACATCCTGTAGAGTCATTGGTGAATGTCTTAGGGCCTTTTTTTTTTGTACATCTTTAGTTAGGCTATATTTTTGGGTGTAGATACTGTGCTTCTTTTGAAGTGCCATTAACTCATTTGTAAATGAAATGAATATTATAATACTGTATATTTGAATACTAAGACATTCCTGAGCTATTTGTTTGATGTCCCTACTGTGGCCTTCATTGTCTGCTATCCTGTGGGGCACTACCAAGAAAAAAATTTTTCAGTTGTAATTTTATCAATTGCAGCACTGCAGCTAGTAAGTAATCCTGGAACTCAGAGTGCTGGCATTATTCTTACTACCTGGAATACCTTATTCTTACCTGGCATTTTCTGTGCAGTTCAGACAGCAAGCTTTCATATATGCTCAACTACTTGTTAGCTTGTAAACATTTCCTGTTATATATATTATATATATATATATATATATATATATATTAGCTTAGTCCATTAACTCCAAGAAAGGGTTCCAGGGTGCCATGTATAACCAAATGTTGTTTTTCCTTATAGCATTTAATTTTATATTCTGTGTTTTTATATTCTATGTCTTTTATATTCCTTTTTATCTCTTTAGGTCATGACTGCTCAATTCGTTTATGGAATATGGACAACAAAACTTGTGTGCAAGAAATTACATCTCACCGAAAGAAATTCGATGAAGCTATTTTTGATGTTGCTTTTCACCCTTCCAAACCATACATTGCTAGTGCTGGGGCTGATGCATTAGCAAAAGTGTTCGTTTGAAAGTTGTTTTTATCTGTGTATAGACTATGGAAGCTGAAGTGGTAAAAAGCCACTGAAATTTTTCCAGCCAGCATTTCAGCCCACAGACCAATGAACCTTAACTTACACTACTATTTATTTATTTATGTAGAGCTGAACATGGTCTTGCATTGTTTGCTGGCAAATCATTAGCTCCCATTAGATGTTTCTTTTGAGTTCTGAGCTGTATTTAATCATCATTCGTTTGTTTTTGAGTAGAATCTGTTTGTCCTAAACAGGTAGCTCATACATATAAAAGCTGAAATATCATGCAATATTTTCTTTTATATCAACAAATTTATGTGTTGTGATTTTTCTGAAAAAGAAATCATGATGTATCAAGTCATAGGTATAATTTTAAGTGTGTTGTGTGCAGGAAGACTTATGCATTTTAGTTTTCTAACTTGCCACTACTTTCTTCTTTCTGTGTGTGTACAATGGATGCCTCTTGTACATAAGTGAGTAAATGTGAAGAATAACTGTAACTAGAATGTAGGGGACTCAATAGCTTGCCTTTCATCAAATGATAGTGTAGGTAGAATTTGGTGATTCAGCATCTGGGACTTATCAAATATACATCAGCAGCACATTCAAGATGATTAAATGCACTACTGCTTCATGCAGCACCCAAGATGAATTCTTGATGTTGTAAGAGTGATAGTGTTGTACAGTGTACAAAGTCTCTGTCAGGATCTTTTCAAAGCAGATTTTTTTTATTTCATTTTTATTATATTTTTTTTTAAATCATCCTTGAACTAAATGCTGCATTTATCAAAGGCTGAAATGACAAAGCGTATTAATTAAAGTATTTATTTCTAATCATTTTGTATAGCTGCTACAGTTGTGGCTCCATATTCTAATGATTGTGAAATTGCCTTAGAGCAGCTCTTAGGTGTACAGTGAAAAAAAAAAAAAAAAAAAAAAAAAAGTATTTAGAACTAAATGTCATCACTTGAAATCCAAGAAGAATATCAAGATCTATGAAGAAAAGTATATATTGCTGTAACATGAATTTTTGCAGCTGTGGTCAGTGATAGATCCTGTTTAGAGTTGAAGGAGTGCCCTTCTGTCATGCAAATTTTATGCTATAAACTGGGCTTTGTGCTTCCTTTTATAATAAATCCAGGAACAATAAATAGTGTTGTCTGAAAATTTCAGCATGTTTGTAAAGTCTATATTTGTGAAGAAAACTTTTTCTACTACTATTGAAAATGTGCATCACTATGATATAAAACATACCAAGAGAAACTTAAATTCATTTCATTGTCATGTTTTATTCTTGGGTATAACTTTCCCCTTACATTTTATTTATTTTACACACGTAATAGATAAAATTTGTTTAAAAAGCTACTGTACATTTTTAACTCCACTTGTATGACAAAAATAAAGTGATAGCATAATTTAGTTTTGTTCTTTTAATCTTTTGCTATAAATAAGAGGTTAACTATGTTGTCTGCCCTTTTATTCCTCGAAGTGCTAAATGACAAATTTTGGTGCTGTAAATTATAAGCATCTAATGAGCTTAAATTAATTTCATGGAAAGGAATTATTTATTTGAATAAATGATCTAATCGGTATCATGTTAATGTCAACTTGTGACGTTTGTTTTTAAGTATTTTAATGTGATGTCACATTGTGCATATAAATGAAGACTTGCATTAAAATTTATTAGGATTAAGTGTATTTCTTTCCTGTATTTGTTTTAGTGAAGATGAAATTCTAATATGCATATAATGATCCTAATTTGAATGAATTATATATATATATTTGGAAACATTTATTTGGTGCTGTTGAGATGTTTTGTCAGATCCTACCTCAAAATGAAATTTAATATTCAGATATTAAACAGTTATAATGAAAATTATTTTAATATTTGTAATGAAAAATCTACAGATATTGATTACCTCATTATGTTGGAATTATTGTGACATGCTAAAATAACTTAATCATATAAGATGAAATTATTTTGTGTAATAAATTCAAATAGAGTTAATTTTAACTCTGATCTGCATAGCCATAACCTCTAGTAACTGATCATGTAAAATGCAACCAGAATGTATGAATGTTTATTTATGTTTTTTATATAAAGTCATTGAATTCTTAAATATAAGGAAGATTAATTAAACATTTGAACTCCACAATTCACATTATTATTATTGTGTTTATTTATTTAATAAGGCTGAAGTAATTGGGGTTTATCTGCAATTAGAGAAATACCTTTTCAGAGGCTTTATATTAAGAGAAACTGACTTATGTTCTCATTATATATGGGAAAAACCCACTACAGTCAGCCTGCTCAGCAGCTAGAGTCAAACTCAGGAGAAACTACCAGTGTTTGTGATTGTATCTGTATGGCTGTTGTGGGATATTATGCTTACATGTATAAATATTCGTAAATAAAGTGATTTTATTTACTCCTATTTAATTTCTCGGTTGGTTTACAGTTTCATCTATGCATATGAGGAAGTTTCTGCCGTGTTGTCATTTTTTAGTTATACTGTAACAAAATATTTGGAATATTGTTAACTAAATGAATTAGGTTCAAGTTCTCTTTTATTGTTTAGTATCAAATGCACTTACAAAAAGTGTTTTGATATTTGTCTTAAGAAACATATACATTCACTTATGTCCTTTTTGCTCACATCATAAATAATTTGCACACCATTTCCGTGCTCATGCTTGGAACTGTTTCTGGAAATGCTTTTGAAATTTTCTTCTATGTTTATTTAACATCTTTTGATTCTTTTTAATTTCTTTGATTTCTGCATGTCAGTGCTAACTTGCCAAACTAAAAGAAAATAAAAATTCTCCCTTTCTTAAAGAGGAGTAATAGTTTAATCATGTTTTGGAAGGCAATATAGAAATTACAGTTCATAAAATTAATTTACATACAAAGCAAATATCCATATGGATGTGTTTTAACTTCTGCATGCACAAGTTGTTTCTGCCAAAAAGTTAAGGTGCATGTTCATAACTCATTCCTAGATCATGAAGTGGCCAGGGTATGATTTCTGCCTCTGTAAGCACCTGACTAATATATGAGTACTGGTAGCCTCAGATGAAGGTTGTTAAGTAGAATAATGTCAGTTTTTTCATAATTTACTTGGGTTGATTGTTTAAGTTTCCTCATAAATGTAACAAAATGATAGAGCCGGGTTTTTTTTTTTTTCCTTTCTTTGCTTCATGTCTAAACATGCCATCTAAAAATGAAGGAAAAAGATGTGTGAGTTTGACTGTTAAACGCTGCTATCTGTAAGATGAAGTTCATTAATACATCAAATGATTTTCTGGGTTCCTTTTCCTTCCTTAATATATTGTAATGAAAAAATTGAATTATTTCAGAAAAAAAAAACAGTGTTTTAGAAAATGAATAAAATACACAGAAAATCTTTAAAAAATAAAATATTTGAAATTAATTCAAAATTATTATTTTGAACAATATTTGAAGTATTTTCTAACTTAAAGCTGTTTGGAATTTGATTGAGTTGACTATGCATTCATCATATCACTTCTTAATAATTTTTAGCCATTAATGGTTTAGATTCATTTTCTGGTAAGAATTAATGTGAGTGATTAATCGTAGTTCAGAAGAGATAATATAGGAAATACAGTTGTAGAGAAAAGGAAATTCTTTGCATTCTTAGCAATTCTTCACATATGACAAGAAATTATATTCCTTATACCAGTCAAGGACATAATGGCAACTTTTTTATTTGTAAGATGTTTCCCTGTGAGGTGAATATTGATAACTGCTGTCCTATTACATTTAGAAATTATTGACTATGAACTTACAAATAATTTCTGCATCTTGAAGCTATCGCATTGCATAGAACCAAGTCTTAATCTTTTTAATCATGTTTAACAAACAAATATATTTTGTTTCATTTCCTGCATTAAATATTATTTTATTTCACTGCTGTAAAGTATTGAAATTTGTTGCAAATTTTGTCATATTTAACATCAAAATATGCTTTATTTTATTACCTGTTTGCGAAGTATATTCATTATTCTTTTGTCCTGTTTAAATGGTATAACATGAATAAAACAACATTTTAATCTTAATTTTACATATAGTGTGATAAGCAAATTACTACTCTTGCTGCAACTTGATTTGCTGCTTGTTTTAAATAGTACATTTAAGTTCTATACAATTAAGCTTTTGCTTGCAATTTATATCATTGTTTAACTATGTATTTGTTTCATTAAATTTGCGCTTTATGATGATTCAATAATATGAAATGAAATGAAAAAAACTGGAATTTTGTCCGTTGTTAGGAAGTATGCACGTAAATTCCACATTCTTTGAATTGAACTAAACTACACCAGATTTAATGTCCTTTTAGTAAAATATTTCATCATAGCTGTAATATTTTATTCTGTGTGGTAAATTTTAATTAGCTGATACAGACAGTGTATTTTCTTTTGGGTAGGCAATGCAGTATAAAGTACAAATGAGAATTTTGTGAATGTCAAAATTATGTTCATTACTAGTAGTATAAAAGTGTATATCATGAATTATTGTAATGCAGTCAGATTAACTTCTGTGTCATTTGTAATGAACCTTCTGTAGGTTCCTCTGCTCTGATCTCCAAGTCTGGCTTGGCCAACATTCTGGTATACTAGCAGTACCGTAAAGCCATTTCAAGTGTTAGTCCAGAGATTTTGTTAAATTCTTCTGTCTGTAATAACATAATAATTTGTGCTGACAAATGGCAGAAACTTACTCCGCATTCACTTACAACTCTTACTCATTTCTTTTGTGAAAACAGAATGAAATATCAGCCTATCATTTTGACTGGAATATAGCCTTTTGTGGAAATCCAAGTACTTGGATTTAAGCAAAGATTCATCTCACCTCTTCCTAATGCATGAGCATAAAAACCCCTTCATGAAAATGTATTTTCCCTTATACATGTAACCCTTGTATGCCTTATACTAAATAGGTAATTTATTATTTATGTGTGGGTGAAATTTAGTCTCATTTGGGGGGGAAATGTACTTTATGTGTAGCGTACTAAAAAATCTTGTTTCATGTGTTATTTCCATCTCTGGCAACAAATTGAAGCAGATGATGAATGATGAAACTTTTATTTACATAGTTTCCCCTCCTTTAGTGCCTTGGGATGACTATTATGATATCCAAAAACCCCAAATAAAGGTATTTTCTCTTTCAACTATTGATGTTTTTATTAATTCTTACTGTTTGACATCAGATGGGACAGAAGGCTGTATTACATCTATTATGTTTACATAACCAGTCTGATAATAGTGTTATAGTTCTAGATTTTGAAATTTTCAGTATTTTATGTAGTTATACACTAAAAAGAAGTCGTTTTAAGATACTATGCAGCAGTATTTAGATAGCTCTTTGGTGTGCTTCTTATGCTGAAATTAAAATAGGATTATATTTGCCACACGGGACTTTTTATCGACAATCTTTTAACAGACGCAGACATTCTTATCATGAGTTGAATTGCATCAAAAATTATCCATAATAGATAATGTCACTAAATTTGTTTATCCATTGCTAACCAAATGTTTTACATCATTTTCAAATGAATAATATGCTATTCATCCTCTCCATTGATCATGCAGTGATTCAGCATAATCTTGTAATTGTTTCTGTCACAGGTCTGCTATTTCTTGCAAAAATTATGATAGGAAAGCTGAGGAACTTAGAATAATATATTATCAGTTTTCTAAATATATATTTTAAAAAATAAAGAAAAAGTTTTGTGTAAACTTGATTATTCTTTCAGTAGAATAAATTATATTTTATGTTTGACAAATTGTGAAATGAATTTTCATAGTAAATTATTTGGTACCATGTTAACTATCAGTTATTTTAAATGAAATTTTATCTTCATAGTAGATTACTATAAATTATAAAAGCATGATTGGGATGTTTTTACCTAAAAAGAACAGTCATTGTTGTAGTCTGTCACAAGAACTTCTCTGGCCAGTATGTCAATATGTAAGGGTGAGTCAATGGAGGTTTTATTTTGTTTCTCATGAATGCTGGCAATGGGAAAGTTAAGGAAGTTAACTTTCATATCTATTTTATCACAGCTGCATCTTCTGAACAACTTTTATTACATTTGTTTCTGCTTCTGCTATATCTTTCTTGTTGTTGTCTTAAATTGCATAATTTTTTAAAATTGGCCTTCCAAATTAGAAAAAGTTAAACATCAAGATCTTAAGCATATCAAATCATGTACAGTATTGCAAATTTTTTCTCATCTGCTGAAGTCTTGAGTAATTCTTTCTAAAGCTTTGAAAAGAACTTGAGCAACTAGACTATCTGAATACAGAGTTTACAGAATTAGGCTAAATTTCGATATCGGCTGAAGAGAAAGTTCTGAACACACCTGGAAAAAAAATAAAATCGACAGTCATCAGAACTGAAATAGTTAATTTTGACAAATGTTTCATATAGTAGTTAATTAACAACATCAAAGGAAAAAGTGCAATCCATATGAAAATTCCTGCATGTTTTGAAAAAGAAAATTGCAAAAAAGGTGCTGTAAACTGTGTAAAGTTTTACATTTTAAGAATTTTCACTGGAAGAAATGCATTGATAAAAGAAAATTGCTTAACCAAAAACCCAATATTGTGTTTTCAAGAAATTGGGAACTTAAAAATTGGAAAACAGGCTGCTACCTCATTTACATTAATAAGCATGAATCAGTAGCAACCTACCATTCAAGAAATATTGGCAGGATGCATTTTAGGCACACAAACGAGTGTTTACTCAAGGAAGGTAATTGTTGTACATGATGGCTTGTTCTACATGATTTGTTCCAAGTACTCAATTACAGTGTAAAGCATCAGCTTATGTCGAGGACTACCATAGAAAAATGAACTATGAAAATTTTGAAAAATGAGTATTGGAAAAACTTATTTTTGATGTACGATCCAAAAGTGTAGTGATAATGAACAATGTGTGATATCGCATTAAATTTGAAGATTTGCTACAAGCACTGATAAATTGGTGGATAAAGAATGGGATATGCTTCAATCTAAAAAAATGGGGAAACGAAACTCTTAACATTGTTAGAATGGAGATGACCAGTAAGTGTAAGTCATAAAATTGGTCTATGTTCTAAAAGAAAGGGGTGCGATATTTTTCACCTTTTTCCCGGTGGATTTAAATACAATTGAATATGTTTGGTCATCAGTTACAAGAATAATTAAAAAAAGTAAGGAAATATAACTAATGATTTAAGCTTAGACCATTTGAATTGCACCAAACTATGAAGAGTGACTTTCCGAGAATGTAAAGCCCATTATAGCTATATATGGAAATACTTGAAAACTTATTAAGATAAGAATTTTTGAAACAGTTTATGAATGGCTAATGATTCAGACTGGCGCTTTTGAACATAAACAGAATATTGTGACCAATAACTTCATTCAAAAC